AGAAATGGAATTTTTGGGTGATAAAACCTGTCATTATTGTGACCACTAAAAACATGTCCACAAACTTCCTAAGTGTCCTTAAGAGATGGAAATGTGCCTGCCTAGCATGTGCAAGGACCCAAGTTCGATCCCCAGTACCAAAAAAAAAAAAAAAGAAAGAAAGAAATGGAATTTTTGGGTGATAAAACCTGTCATTATTGTGACCACTAAAAACATGTCCACAAACTTCCTAAGTGTCCTTAAGAGATGGAAATGTCCCTGGTTAGGCTCTGCTACTTTAAACTACCCATGAGTCCCAAAGCATTACCTCTTTGGGACAGGCTGAACTTGGGATTCACAGAGTACAGCATTTGGGCTCGGAAGGGACCTCGAAGGCCAGTCCGGCCCTGCCCTTTACACAGAAGGCACAAAGGCCAGGTCACCCAGCATGTGGGAGAGAAGGATGGTTAGATCCCGGCTGCTCCCTTTCTACTCAGGATTTTAAAAAGAAGTGGGTTATAATGAGAGGGTTGTCTCTAGATTTTGCACAGGCAAATCATAAAGCACATACATTGGGATAAGTTATTTAGAGAGTAGGTATGATTAGCCTATAAATAGTTCTTTGTCCTTATTGTTGTCTCAAAATGATACAAAAATATAAAAATATAAAAAAGTTATTGAAAACCATTAATAGCTGACTATATCTTCTGAAGATCCCTGGGTTATTCTAAGACGGACATCCTTTTAACCCACAATTACATCCTACTGACACAATGCACACTTAACGATGTCCCCACTGTCCCAGACACCCTTGTCCTCTCAAATAACTGCATGTGTGCCTCATGCTGACTGCTTGGGGCACTGCATGTATACTTCAGTTCATTTTCCCATTTACCTCAGATTCCACAAGGTGGCTACCTTTATTAACTATATTTTATGGAGGAGCTGTACGAGGTCCCGGAACTTTAAAAGGAAAAAACTAGACTGTGATACAGAGCCACATCTGTCTGGTCCATACTCACTCAGCCACCAAACCCCACCATCTCTTCTCAAACACCTTACCCTGGAGCTACAAGGGTGATCAACAAATATAGTTAATGTTCAAATAAAATGTATTACAGTAAGAGGCACATTCCATTAATCCCCTTCAAAATACTCCCCCTTCCCGGGTTTGGTGGCTCATGCCTATAATCCCAGCACTCAGGAGGCTGAGGCAGGAGGATTGCTGTGAGTTTGAGGCCTGCTTAGACTACATAATGAGTTCAAGACCAGCCTGGACTACACAGCAAGACCCTCTCAAAAAACTGAAAAAAAGAGAAATACTCCCCCTTGCTTCTAACGAACCTATCCCATCATTCTTGCCACTTTCTGAAGCAATTCTGGAGTCCTCTTCAGAGTGTCTTTACAAGGTTCGACCACAAATACAGTGACCACTGCTGCCTTGTGCCACCCAAAGAAAGGCAGGCCCATAAGAACATTACGGTGTGTCCTCACCACTGTATTCAGTGGATCCAGCACCATGCGACTTCTCGCTCTTCCCTAAAGTCACAGTGACCATGAAAGGTCAATGTTTTTTTATTTTTTATTTTTTTTTGGTACCAGGGATGGAACTCGGGACCTTGCACTTTCAAGGCAGGTGGCAGAACCACTGAGCTAAGTCCCCGGCGAAAGGTCAGTGTTTTAAAGCAACTCAAGACATGGAGGCAGCCACAACAGCACACTAAAGACTCTCAAAAAAGAGGGCTCCAGAGCTGCTTCCAAGGGTAGCAAGAATGATGGGACATGTGTGTGTAGAGTGAGAAGTATTTTGAGGGGGACTAATGGCAATGTGTCTTTTACTGTAATGCATTTTTTGTTTCAACACATACTCTTTTTAATAACTTCATATTCTTATTATGTGCTAAAAATATTCCAGCAATGTCAAGATCACAAAAGAAAGGGAGGCAGGGAGACAAATGTCAACTACTGGTGAGTTCACACAGCTGCACCAGATAATCCCTGACCTACGGTGCTCTGGTTTGGGCAGAAATGCTTCAGTCCGACCCATTCCACCATGGGCGGAGTTCCCACTGTGGCAGCACGGTGTGAGGCCCACAGCGCCCGGCCTCTGTTCACCCACTGTGGGAAACAAGATGGACCACAGAGCTGAAGTCCCTACTACTGTTCCCTTCACGGCCTCGTCTTCTTCTCTGCTCATGAAGCTTCTCCACCACCACTCTCAGCCTCCATCTGTACGTGGATCTGAGACCCCAGCAGAACTATCTCCCTGTGCCCCTGGCTGCACCAAGTGCTCAATCATGGAGCTGTGTCCTCAGAACCACAGTCCCAGGCGGGACATCCTCTGAGGACACTGGTGTGAGGACTGTCTGAAGCCTACCTTACAGGTGCAGAAACAGAAAAAATAAAGGCAAGTCACACCGCCGGTAAGCAGTAAAGCTAGGCCTGAACCCGGATAGGCTCCAGAGCCAGGGACATACACACACGGCACTCGGAGCTTCCAAAGGGAAGCTCCACACAGGGAGAGCAGCCCAGGTAACCCCCCACTCCCCAGCAAAACGCTGCAGGGTGCTGATGACAGCAAAGTCCCAGGTGCTCACTAGCAGTGTCCCTGCCTCAGGGTTTGTTTTCATTATTCAAGTTGGTAGGGTCCAGTTACCAACATCACTTCCCACTTCCTACTCTCCTGCTCATAACAACACTCCCCCACTCCTACTTCCATGAAACGAGGAAAAGAAAAAGGCTGCCTACAACTAACACAATAAAAACTGTCACTTGGAATTTCAATTAAACCTCCAGAATGCCGCAAACAAATTAGAAAACCTTATTTCTTCAATTTCTCACCGGACCCCAGGACTTGAAAGATGAGTTCTCAGAGAAAAGTGACTCCTCAGCTCTTCACTGACACACACAGGGTCAGGGAAGGCCAGAGGTGGCCGGAGAGGGCCTTGTGAGACAGCAGAAAAAGCCACAAGACAGGCAGAGTCAAAAAGGCTCTTTAAAAAAAAAAAAAAAGGCTCTGCCTACAAAATCATGCCCTGCCCTACTCTGTTCTGCCTCATGTCTTCTACTAAGTTTCTCCTAAAGTTGAACCAGAAAACCAAGGAACAGACTAGAAACCAGAGCCAAGCACAGTGGTGTATGTCTGCAAGTAACCCTAGCATATGGGCGGCTAAGGTATGAGGATTGCAAGTCTTAGGCCAGCCTGAACTACACAGTGAATTCCAGGCCAGCCTGGACTCCATAGCAAGACCCTGACTCACACACAGGCACATGCACACACTGAAGAAACTGAAGGCACAGGAAATTAACTTGGCCATATTTTAAAGTACACTTTCTGAGGCTGGGAGTATAGCAGAGTGGTACAGCATGTGCTTAGCATGCATGGGGCCCTGGGTTTGACCCCTAGGATCAAAAGATCAAAAACCAAACTTCAGATGTGAATGTAGAAAGCACACTTTCTCTGCTAATCAAAGGTCTTAACAAGATAGAGAACCAGATTTCATCTAAAACCAGAACTCGCTGTCAATCTCATTTTTTTTAACCTCATTTTTTGACAAGTAACCTTATGAAAATATTTCTGCCTGGTAGATGATACTCAGATGTAACACTATTCAATTCAAATCCTACTTCCTAAGACAAAGATTGTGCAACTCATTTATTTAAAGTATGCTTTCCTCCCAAATCATTTGAAAATAAAATACTAGTATTAAAAAATAACAAGTATTTCTTGAAAAAAAAATCTCCACCAGTTCAGATTAAAGGTAAAAGTACAAGTTCCTCTCTACACTAGTGCTGAAGAACAGCCAACAGCAGTAGTTTGGTGTCCTCGCCCTGCCAGGCGTGTTTGTACAAAAACAATTTCCAAAGGAGTTTAATTCTTTCATTCTAAAATTAGGATGTCACACCCGCAATTCCACACTGCATCTGCAGCCGTGTTTCTCGTCACAGACGTCCTCCACCTCAGTGCTGGAGAGCAGCCCCAGGGTTTCCAGCTGGTAGCTCCTGTTCTTTTTCAAAGTAGCAAAAACCCAATGAGTTCTTTTATTTTCCTGGCATAACTCTTCTCAGGCAAACACAGCTTGCTTCGGTGAATCCATGTTAAGCTATTTATGCACACCCTGTGTATGTTCTGAGGAAACACAACAGCCTGTAGAGAGGTGCTTTGGGCCATTTCTCCTCTCTCCTTAGGCTGACTCTTCTCCATGCCTCGGGACCCTGACACCCTCACACAACTCCTCAGAAAGCTTTCCCTGGCGGGGCTCTGAATCAGAACCCAGGCACTGCCCATTCCCACCAGCTTCACTTCTCAGCACAGCATATCACACTCTCACATTATATTATTCACTTGTTTGATGTGTAAACTGCGTAACTTCGGCACAGGGAGAAACTGCAGTTTTGTGCACTGCTACATCCTAGTGTTTAGAAAATGCATGGTATAAAATAAGTGTTCAAAAATATTTACTGGATGAATAAGCATAGAACCCTAATACAATGGACATTAAAATACATATTAAAATGCTGGAAATTCTAGGTTTCCAGCTTGGAGAGACATATATATGAGTGAGTGTATGTGTGAAAAGAGAGAGAGAAAGAGAGTATAATCAGAAGCAAAAAACAATGCAACTTGAAAACTCGCTCTAGAGCTCCAAGAACCAAATAACTGGGAAGGATTCTACCTACTAAATATAAAACTGGTAAGCTGGATTGTACTCAAGGAAGTGGTCAACAGAAAATTGAAGGTTTTTGAACTATGATCCAGACATTTCTCTCCTATTGAGTCTTTCCACTCTTGTTCATATCAAAAAAATCAGATCTTTGACTTTTTGTCCCTACCATTATGTAAATTCTTTCCCGAGCTTTATAAAAATTTTTTCTTTTAGGCCAGTTCAATTACACTGTAAGATCACAAGAATCAGTGGACACCAAGCAAGTATATGACAAGCTGGTCACTAGGATGAGTTCAGCGCTGTGCTGCTTGTCCTGATGTGCTCAGAGCTGAGCTGGAACTACACCCAGCGGCACACACAGAAGTGTCAGTGAAAGCTCACCTGTCATTCCGGAAGACCTTCGGGAGATACCTTCTGGGGAACCACATGGCCAGCGCACACATTAGAACCCAAAGGATGGCAAGTTCATCAAGCATCTGACCCAGGAAACTAAGGGTCGCATGGAAGTAGACAGATCCAATTCCTAGAATCAATTACAACCAATAAAACAAAGTCACCACAGAAGCACAGATCCAAGCTGGGCATGGTAGCACATGCCAGTAATCCCAGCACTCTGGAGGCTGAAACAGGAGGATCGCTGTGAGTTCAGGGCCAGCTGGAACTACAAAGGGAGGCCTTGCCTCAAAAAACAAAAAACATGGGAAAAGATTTTATGAACAAAGCCTCAGTTGCCTGTGAACTAGCACAAACAATCAACAAGTGGGATCTTCTTACTAAAAAGCTTCTGCACAGCAAGAGAAACCACCAACAGTGTGAAGAGACAACCCACAATGTGGGAAAAAATTTTCACCTGC